CGACGTCTAATTTCTTTTTAATTATAGGAAATGCGTTTTTCTAAGGTACATAAACTTTTGCGATTGACTGTATAGCCAATACATCCTTAATCCAAGAATGGTGTTGCAATTTAAGTTCGTCATTTGTCTTTGAATTGATTTCTTCTAGCGAAATTTGGAAGGTCGGTTGTTTCATGATCGATTGACCCATATTGATAAAAATCAAACCGGCTACGTTCGCAGCTTAACACTATCAATGATCTAACACTTTCGTAGTTAACGCACGGTGATCGGTGGTTTATTAAGCGGAAAATCGAGGTTACAGTAAGCGTCGTCGAGTGGTGGACAACGCGTGGAATCGCAAGGGCTTCCTAAACCGAACATCAGAGTCTTATGTAGGCAGATCCCCGTTCATGAGTCTTAAAACATACTGTGAAACGTATAACCGAACTAGACGTTCTTAGGGTACCCAACAAATTGAATGAAATTTGTGATTTTAATGAATAGTTAAAGTAACATCTCTGTGTCACACAAAGTATATACAATTTTATTGAAACTATTCATTGCATGATTTGATCTATCATGAATATTAAAATGCATCCGAGTTGCGGTTCGCGTTTTGTATTCTGTAATTTCGTCGCAATCGGTGTTTATGTTGCGGTCGAAGTATATTATTATAGTTACTATCGTATCGTTACGGGATACGGCTTTCTATAGATGTATTTATAAGCAATATCTAGTCGTTGCTTCTATTCACCGTTTACGCCGGTAACCATCGTTCGGCTGAATGCAATTCGCATTCGGAAGTCGTATTTTCTACGATTCCCAGGGAACTTGGTAGCATTCTTAAGATATTCACGAGTAACGTCTGGCCGTTGCTCGGTCAACTCTCTTCTTCAGTGATACTAAAGCGAATCTCTACCTTGGCATTTTTTCAATTGCATAATATGTAACATTATTTTCTTCGTCGAAGTTCGTGAGTCAGCTTCTAATTAGGGGGTCGTTTCATTTGCATATTTTATAAGATCGTCGTTTCTTCACGTATTTGAATAATACCCTGCAGTAATTCGACAGGCGTTTCAAATATCGATAAGTAACGCGTAGGAATCCGCGTAATCCGCCTCGAGAGACCGCGTTCATTTTTCAACGAAGGAAGAGACAATTATTCATATTAAAATTCTTAATATTTAGATAGACGCGAGAACAAATTGGTTCTATTTCGATATCGCATCGTTCTTATCCTGTTACCTTAAGCAAAGTATGAAGGAGGCATTTTGTTTATCGTCGATCAGGCCAACAAGCCTTCGAGTTCAATAGTGAGGGAAGTACGAGCACGGAAATTGATGAGTTCTCCTTTTTTCCTCTCTACCTTCGCAGAGCCTCGAGACTCTCCTTTTCCCCGGGTTTTCTCATTGTCAGCAACGGCTCGACGGTAAACACAAATATTTGTATTAATCTTGCGCGATACTGTCGTCCATTGCTCGTCGTAAAATGCACGAGTTAGTTCGGTGCTCTGTGTACACGGGGATTCTTTGAAGCGCTGGCAATTTGGTTAAAAATAAATCGACTGTCTTTCGTTGGAAAAATGTTTCTTCTACTCGTCGTCGTACGCATTTCACAAAGATAAAAATAATTAACGCAAGTTCTGTTCTTCGCATCATAGATTCACATGTTCCGTTTGAAAGGAATCTAAGTTTAGGTGGAATCGTTTGATGAACAATAGGACAGGCGTGCTGTTCTTTTACGCGTAAGCCGATGTGACGATAAGTCGAACAGAATTTTCACGAGAGTAATGAGAAAGTGTCGGCAGTACCTGCTCGCATATATGTATATATTGTAATCTCGTAAGCCCGCACTTACGGCAGATGCACGAGCTGGTGAATAACAACGGAACTCGAGGCAACGGCTTTCCCTCGCGCTCCCGCGAATTGTGAGAAAAGTTTTATCGAGCGCTGTCAGTGGCTGTCGGTGACTATTCCGCTTGGTTCCGGCCTATCGAAGACAGAGCCCGTGTCTCGTTTCCGCTTGTCGGACCGTTGAGACACCGAATAAAACCTAAGGCGTATTACTTACACCGTACTTACTCGCTAGCAGTCGAAAATTCTAAGCTAAATGCGATTCGACGCGAATTCGAGCCGAGATGGAAGACGTCTT